ATCCGTTTGCTGAACATCTTGAAGGGCACTCATTTGCTGGCAGATTATCTAAGGAGGAAACATCCTTATTAGTTGACATGTCGAAGAGTATGGTGCGACATAAAGAGATATTGGTTACATTGAAACAAAGGGATGCCTTTAATGCGACAACAAGGAAGAAAATCTATAACGCATGTCATCGACATCGAGTAGTATAGAGGGTGGGAAGATCACAGATGCAACAACTATTGGGGCAATTGTCGATTCAAAATTATGTTGAGTGGCATTGATGTGATGATAGAGAGATGGTGATTGGCTTGTTCTGGGCACACCCAGTTAGTTTGGCATTGTTACGTGCATTTCCACATGTGTTGATTATGGATTGCACATACAAGACTAATAGGTATCGACTCCCTCTTTTAGAGATTGTTGGGGTAACATCAACGGACTTGACTTTTTTAGTTGCTTTTGCTTATCTTGGTCATGAACGGGAGGACAACTATACATGGGCTTTAGGCGTATTGCGTACTTTATAAAGAATACCATTTTTCCAAAAGTCATTATTATAGATAGGGAGTTGGCTTTGATGAAAGGCATATCAAAATTTCTACCTATGGGCACTAATTTTTTATGTAGATGGCATATTAGCAAGAATGTTCTGATGAAGTGTAAGAAGGTTTTTGAGATGAAAGATAAATGGGATAAGTTCATGCATAGTTGAAGTGCTTTGGTATTGGTTAGAACATAAATAGAATTCAATGAACAATTTTTCACTCTGAGGACTGAATTTAGTATGTATCCTGAAGCTATTAAGTATGTTCTTACCAATTGGTTAGAGCCATACAAGGAAAAATTTGTTGCAGCTTGGTCAGACAGTAATATGCATTTCAGAAATACTGCTACAAACAGGTAAATTATGGTCATTGCATTTATGAATTGATATAATTCTTTGATTTTTATATTAAATACCAAAACATACAAACTTGTAGGGCAGAGAGTTCTCATGCTAAATTGAAGAGGCAACTTGGATCAAGTCAATGCAGTTTTGAGACATCTTAGACCAAAATACACAATTTGTTAGAGTTACAGCATGTAGACATTAAAGCCTCATTTCAGCGGAGTTTGATTGTAGTCCAACGCAACTACACACCTATTGAGTTCACTGAGTTACGTGGTTTTATTTCAATTTGTAGTTTGGACAAAATATTAGTAGAGTCAAAGAGATCTAATAGTGTGGGAATAGATGTTGTTGCATGTGGCTGCATTTTGCGACGTACACATGGGTTGCCATGTGCACATGAAATAGCTGAGTATTTTCAACAAGGTTGACCGATTCCCCTCTCGTGCGTAAATCCTCATTGAAGGAAGTTAGATATGCTTCCAGTTTCAGAAAGTGCTTTTGTGAAATTGGATTGCAAAACAGAGACTGATTTTTTTATTAAGAAATTCCTAACAATTGACGAGACGCAACAAGTGATCCTTCTGAAGAAGTTGAGGGAGTTAATTAGTCCAGACAGTACATTTTTGATGGAACCTGAACTCAAGACTGACACGCGAGGGAGGAGCCGAGGTCGCGGCCGTGGTCAATTCAAAATCGATACATCTACTAAACGCGAGCCATCTGCATTTGAGTTTGTACTATCTGGGAAAGATAGTTATTCACAGGGTGTTACCATTTCAACTGCACTAGTTCGTAAGCAAGTGCAACGGAAGAAGGCAAAAAAAGATTATGTACGTAATTACATAAAACTTGTAACTATGTACAAAATATATTTTAATAGTTTTTCAACCTCATTTTAATTATTTCATATATCCATTGCTGTATATTTGTGATGTAGGTTTGTATGACGTAGTCAACAAATCATATCTCTTAGTTCAAACAATTTCCGGAGAGGTTGAGACCATATATCCATCACATAAAAGATGTACAAGCAGATGACAATTGTGGTTTCAGGGAAATAGTTGGATTGATTGGTTTAGGTGAAGATGATTGGCAACAAGTTAGGCGCAACTTGTTGACTGAGTTGCATTCGAATGTAGTGCACTACGTGCAACTATTTGGTTCACAAGAAAGGGTTAATGAACTTAACTCTATTTTATCCTATTTCGAACCTAGCCTTAGATTTAATCATTAGATGACTATACCCGACATGGGGTATTTGATAGCATCATACTATCGAGTCGCTCTTTACCATTTATCTATGCAATAATGCTTGACGTTTTTACCACTTAGATCAGTACCGATTGCAACACCTGATTGAAGAGATATCTGCATAGGATTTGGAAATAGAAACCATTTCATGCAGGTAACTATCGAGCCTACTTATATTATTACCATGTCTTATTTTGTAATTATATTTATTGATTTCTTTGTTATAGGTTTATCTGCAACCTGGCCATCTAGTACCTCCGATAGCAAATAATTGGATTCGTTTTCATCACCTGTGTGCCATTGGATGAGAGAAAGCATATACTATCCATATTCAGCAATTCCGTACTGTTATCAGCCCTGACGTAATAACTACTGAAACAATCGATATAGAAGAATTGTGATAATATGTTTGATTGATGGATGCAAACAACGACAGATTTGATGGATGCTTTTATGGATATTCGTACACTTGATTTTGTCATGAAATTTTTTATGGAAACTTTTTATGTTTGATTTTATAGATGCGTGTTTGATTTATGGATGTTTTTTATCGAACTGGATTAATGCAAATTCGTTGACATTCTATTACCGAACATGCCAAATTATTATTTAGAACAAAGTGGCTCTATAAATGTATAGCAATAGAACTCTAGACAAATATATTTCTTCCAGCAACATAATACTGGACAAATGTAATTTCTCTACTATTGCGTGACTGAACAGACACTTCATAGTGGATTCCACTGACTTTGTTGTGAAGCAAATTGAAATTCTCCAATTGTATGGCAACATAATGTTGGGAAAAAATAGGTTGTCTGGTAACATGACACTGGAGTAATAAAAATTCACTATCATTTTATTATCGAACAAGCCTAGCACAAATTATTACCACATCAATTGGGAGGATAGTGACTCTGTAAATGTATAGCCATAAAAGGCTGGACAAAACCATTTATTCTGGCGTTATAGTACCGAATTTTTGTAAATTGTTTCACATTGTGCGACCGAACAGGCACTTCAATGTGGACTCTACTGGCTTTGTTGGGTAGTGAACAGAAATTATCCAATTGAACGGTTACATAATGCTGGAAAACAAATTTTTTTCCAGTAACATGAAACTAGAGTGATTTAAATTGTTTAGCATTGTATTACCAAACAGGCCCAGTACAAATAAAAAAAACATTGCTTAGGATGAAGTTGCTTTGGAAATACATAGCAACTAAATGCTGGAGGGATCTATGGTTTCCAGCAACCGAACACCGGAATAATGAAAATTGTTTAGCAGTATGCCGCTGAACTGGCCCATAGCATTGAAAAAAACAATGTTACTTCCAGCAAATGGTACCATATCCCTCCAGAACACTTTAATACCATTACAATGCATTATAAACAATAACAAATCCATATGTTTGCCAAAATAAGTTTCCATTGACATAAACATTGAATACAAAATAGATGTGAAACTGTTTAAAATTCTTACAAAAGTATGACAATTCATTACTTGTCCAACCAAGCATCCAGGTTACAAAAGATCCAAGGCATCCACAAAAACTATGCCATTAGGAAAAAGTATATCCCAAATTCTGTACGGCGTAGGCATTCACAAAAACTATGTCATAAAAAAAAAACTAGATCCCAAATTTTGTACGGGCTAGCCTTTCACAAAAACTATGCCATCAAAAAAAACCTGCATCCCAACTATCATGTACGGTCAACAAAAAACTATATCCCAAAATGTATACAGGCTAGACATTATGCAAAATTATGTCATCAAACAAAAACTAGATCTCAATCCTCATGTATGGTCCATCCTACGACGTTTTACGATAGTAGAGTTGATGCTCTATACGTGTCGAAGTAGATCCCAAACTTTGTCCATCAAGAACTTGCAGCATGCGACCAATGGTATCATACAACAAGTCAGAGTGGAAGACACACTCATGACGACCGAGCCTATGGACTGCAGCACCAACATCGAAAGCAACATCATTACACTGCAAAAAAATTGATAAAAATCGTACTTAGTGTTTGATTTATGGTGAACTACTTAAAAGTGAAAAAAATTAATTCACAATTTGCTTACCCACTCAGGATCTATAGTAACGTCATTCTCGGGACGTTGAACACGTGGATCAACTGAGAGTGATGCGTAGGATTTTGAACAACCCGGTGTGAAACACGAGCATACGACTCAAGGTATCCCGTACACATTCAGATGGGTGCTGCTGTACAGGCACACTACGAGCGTTTAATGGACAACACATGATTTTCCCATTGCGCCTATATCGTGCCATGGTATTGATACATGATTCTGTACTGTCCTGGTTTGCTGCCTCGTGTAGCTCGAACAAGAGATAATGGTGTTGGTGGGATGGTTTAGACCATACGAAACTGTCGTAAAACCCTGTTGGGGTGATAGGGTTCAACAATATCAAAGCATTTCAAACATCCCGTATAATATGCAACCTCATGAAGTGGATGGTGTGTCCTACATAAACGGTATGGATCCCACTCGATCCGCAAATAGGAAATGCATAATGTTAGTTATGAAATCTTATTTTATTTTATTTTTACAATTTTACACCATTATAAAATGTCTAACCTCATTAGCACGTAACATGCCAAGTTGCTCTCGTAATGTCTGCAAGTGGTCTTCTACAAAACCTCTATCTCTCTGCAAACTCCAACGACATACACGAGGTTGTTCATCAGAATAGGACAAATTTGGATGAGGCCTTCCTAAACGAAAATGCTCATAAATCCATGCTTCCAATAGCTTCAAGTAACTAGTAATCTGCTTAACACTAGCCCTACTAGCAAGTCCTAATTGTCTATACAGAACAAGTGCAATAAATTGCAGCACCCTATGCATATGAGCTAACAACATCAATGACAGTCAACATGTGCAGGTAAGCAAAAGGTACTTGAGTCTCACTCTTGTCAAGGAAGAGGGTACAACCTAATAAATATAGCAAGTAAGCTCTCGCTGCGTATTCTATGAAATTTGCATCATCTATATCGTTAATTTCATGAAATTTAATTCACAACCACTCTAGCTTCATGGATTGCCCACGAGATTGAACTAATTCTGCAAATGCATCATTCACTGGCACTCCCAAAGTAGCACTCACCAGTTCAGCAGCCTCGTATCTTGTTAACTTAGGACATAACAAAGCCATGCCAGTGACTGGAATGTCAAGTATGGTCCTCACATCATCCAATGTGACAGTCATCTCACCATTTGGCATGTGAAATGCATTTGTCTCTGGATGCCACCTTTCAACGAAGGCAGATATTGCCACTCTATTGTCATGTCGATATGTGTGATCAATAAGGACACTAAGACCAGACTGCTCAACCAAATGTCTCCACGTAACATTTTCGACTGTTGGTGACATCCATGGCCACTCAGCAAGCTTTCGAGAACGATTCAAACATTTAAGAGGTCCCCATTCCTGCATTTTACATAAAACATATAAATAATTTGAAGCATATAGTACATATGATTAGTTTATTGTTGAGAAATTCTTAAAATACCTTTTTCTTCCAAACAACGGCAGCAACATGGTTACAGAAGCTAATTAGCAATGAAGGATCCTCTGGAGCACCCGGAACTGGTTCTGTGTTGTCATCATTCACACCAACATCGTCCTCCATGAGGTTAGCCTCTACACCAATATCATTATCGACATCGTCATCCTCTACACCAATATCGTCGTCAACATAATCATTATTCGCATCCACATGGTCATCCTCCTCCACAGGGACATTCACTTCCACTGGTTCAGGTTCTATTTGCCTAGCACGTCTTCTGTTGGATGCCATTGGTCTCTTACGTGAGACACCACTAACCATTTCTGTATAAAAAAAAAACATTAAACCCAATATTAGCAAAAACTCGAACATATTAAATGACTGATGTAAACAATATCAACAAAGAAACTATAATTTCATAGATAACATTCAATTTAAAAAAGAAAAATTTAATGTGCAAATGTATAGAAAAGGGAAAAAATTCTAATTATAGAAGAGCAAAATGCATGATTTATTAATACATGATGTTTTAGAAAAAAAAATTATTAAAATGATAAGTAAAGGAGAACTTGGCACCATTTGAAACTTTTTTGTCCTAGAAAATTGCATCAGCATATTGCAAGAGAGGAACATATTGCAAGTTCTGAGAATTCTATTGAAAATTAAAAAAGTTATAAGAACATATTGCAAGAAGGGGAAAAGGAAGAAAATCACATATTGATCTTCTAATGACCAGGAGAATTTATAAGATTTTGAATTTCAGAGTGGCATAACCATTAGGTTACCAACAGACATGGTTTAAATAACATGGGTTTTTTTTTTTTTTTTTTTTTTTTTTTTTTTTTTTTTTTTTTTTTTAGGCTGGGTGGGAGTAGTAGTTTACATCGAAGGGATGTTGCATACCCATTAGGATTATATTTTCTTAAAATTCATGTCTTCAAATTCAAATTTTTATTTTTCATTTTTTTTTTGTATTGTTTCACACAGTAATTTTTGCCTTAAATGAGTGTATAGGTTATGTGGGACATTTGTCAGACGCGTGATTATTTTGATGAAGATGAAAATAGTATCAAAAGCTTTAAGTTATAGAATGGAGCCAAATTTCCTTATTCCTGTTAAAGTGAAGAAGAGCAATGGATTTTAAATTTATATAGTATAGGATATTAGAATAATATTTGCCTATTATTCCAAAAGTATGAGGTTGTAATATGAGTTCAAACTATAGAAACAACAAGAACTTTTTAATAAACTTGGATTTGTGTGTGTTTGACTTCCATCTAACTTTCCCCAAGTGGACTTTAAACTGATTTTAGACACAAAGTAATAGAATAAAAATGAAAAAGAGACAAAGACTCACGACATAGCCTCTTATAATTAATTTGTACATTGTTCCCAATTTGGCGTTAAATTGTCAAAAAGTGAGAAGACCAGCTTGCTTGTTTTCTATAGTCATTATCTGGAACTATTCTGTACTGATAGGGTTTAGAACTTGGATTAGACTCTTGTTTTCTTCTCTTTCTTGCTGTAAATTTTTAGGCTCATCTTAAGTGAAGTATTGTTCAGATACGTGCGTTAGTGATTAAGAAGCAGACCTGTGTTTCATAAAGGGTTTTGGCACTTTAGTTGCGTGTTTCACTAGGGGTCTTTTACAACAACTTGATTTAAACAGGGCCATGTTTTTAGTATTTTTGCATGAAGTTCTTGTAGACTATTACCCCAAATATTTAAATAGGTGATAATAAGTTATTTAACTTGGGTGACTTATTGCACAAGTGGAATGCAATCTTGAAGTGTATAAGCATCAATGACCCATTCAATGCTTCTATGATCTAAAAGTTAAAATTAATGAAATGTATTTTATTTAAAAAAACAAAAACAATTTAAGCTTATTAAAAAGTGCATAGAGATTGGGCTTGAAATGGGCTTTCTAAATGCATGTTGAGGATGGATGCAATTTTGGCAAGCTTTCAACTATTAGAGTCACTATTAATAATTATGCTCTTAGTTTTCTCATTTTTGTTCTTTTATTTGAATATAGTGCATGAGATTTGCAAATAATAGCTTCTTTTTTTTTTTTAATAAAATTTGGTACTCTTTGCTTTTTGGTAACAATTTGAAATATTGGAATTAGAGTAATCCAATGTAAGGATTGATCGAAATGCAAGATTTGGCTTTAAAGGGTCTGATCCAAATCTTATCCCTAATTCAATACCAAATCTTTGAACAAAGTAATGCCCTAAGAGCATCTCCAATGGTAGTAGGCATTTTACCTATCTAAATATTACTATAAAGTATACATTTTATTTTGCCTGTCAACAATTTCATGTTTCTACCCCAACCATGCTCTTTATTTTAGCTATTCATCCAAATACTATTAACTTTATAGAATGCCACGTCAGCAATAAAGATGGAGGGAAATAATCGTAATGATTAAATACATTTTGCCTAGCCTTGAAGGCTAGCTACATGTAGCTAGTGAATGTGAGCTGAGCCAAAATGCCTAAGCATATGCCTAGTGCATTGGAGTTGAAAAAAGTGAGTCATATTAGGCATTTTGACTAACAAGCATCATATGCCTAGTGGGTTGGAGATGCTCGGTCCGAGTTGAATTTTGGTGAAAGCTATGTAACTTAAGTAATTGCCTTCAATTAGCATGAATAATTATAATAATGTCCTACCTATCTGCAACTTTTATTCAATTAAAAAACAAGCAATTTGTATATTATAGTTGTATATGCATATTTGTGGTAGTGATGGTTGGCCTAATGGTGGACTAACAATATTAGGAGCAACTAACCCACAGCTTCAATTTTTTCCATAACTATTAACAACCTTCTATGGCACCTCTTTACCCACATAACTCTAACCCTTTCCACTTGACTATCACTCTTAAAAAAAAAAAAAAAAAAAAAAAAAAAAAAACCAAAAATTTGATAAAATAGAAGACCACAATTTGAACTTCAACATTCAAACTAGCACCAAAAATCACAAACCCAATTAAATTCCAAGATCAAAAACACCAAAGCTATGTTGGGAATGCGCTATTCTTTGTCTATTCACAAAAAATGATGACATGGATGATATAGATATATATAAATATACACACACATCTATGTCTATCAATATATATAGAGAGAGAAGAGTTTTTCACTTACCTTTGGCAAATGGGAAGAATGAGTTCAATCGTCTATGCTGTCCGAACCCCTCCACGACGGTGTTGTCTACTTTTTTTCCTTGCGTTGTTCTCTCTGCGTCGTTCTCTGTTCCTTCTTTTCCCTCCAAAAGTATAGGTGTAAAGAGATGAGTTTTGAAGAATTTTTTTAACTTAGAGTTTGTTTTGGTAATATATTGGATATAATGAGAATTTATTATTTTTTTATGATATAATGAGATGCAAAGTGTAAAAAAATAAAAGAATAGTGTAAATAAAATCACCCGTAATTTATTAACAAAAATAACTAAAATACCACTCCATCATCTGTCACACTTTTATTTCTCTCACGATTTAGGTTTCAATCATCTCATATCTCTCTCACTTTCTCTCTCTCTCACTTTCTCTCTCACATTAGATCTCCTTCTCCCTCTCACTTTCTCTCTCTCTATCATCGCTGCCGATCACCAATCTCAGCGTCACTCGCAACCACATCGGTCACGCCGATCGCAGCCGTCGTCCCCTAATCTCTTCCCCTCTTCCTTATCGCTTCTCTGCCGCCTCCGACCTCCTTACCGCAGCTGTCAGCGGTGTGCTCAAATCTGAGATCCACAGCTCCGCTCTATCTCGGATTTGAGATCTATTTGACTCCGATCTCCTTTGTCGCTCGATTTCTAGGGTTCCGAATAGATAGAGACAACGCCGTCGAGGTCATGCTCTGCTATACTGACACTGACCTCACTACATTCGACATGGCCGACCACTGTAATTCCAAAACCCTTTCTTTCCTATTCGACTCATTCCTCAGCCCCGATCGCATCCCTTGCTTCACGGACTGAGTTCGCCTTCAATCGATTCGAAAAAAGAGAATCTTCATCTGGTCATGCAACTTCAGCAAAGAACGAGTCGATCGATGTGTCCTTGGCGGAGTTACTGAGCCCGATCCGCCAAAAGATTGAACGGTTGAGATTGGACAGAGAGAAAACGGAGAAGATGCTGATAGAAAGGGATTTGGTGATGAAGACGAATTTGAAGTGGTGAAGAGATGGGAGGCCTAGAAGATCCTTGAGATCAAATTTTTAGTTGTTGCATAGAATTTTTTGTTTTTATTGTGATCTTGATTTGAGTTCTTCATTTGTTGCATATAGACTCATTTTACCCACTTTCCTATTTCATAGGAAAATTAAAAAAATCAAAAACTAATTTTTAATTATCTTTTCAAAACACTTCATAATTTATTGTTTCATATTCTTGATTTGTTGTGATCTTGGGTCCTTGATTTTGATGAATTTTTGATTTTCAACCTAGTCCCGATGTGGGTAATAGATTGGGCCATTTTGGCAACAAAAGTAAAAAGTTAATTTTGTGACTTTTTAATTTTTTTACTCAAAAAAATTATTTATTATTATTTTTTAAAAGAATCTAACTTTTTGCTAAAAAATCATCAAAAAAGTTATTAAAAAAAAATTAAAAAGTCAATTTTTTACTAACTTTTCAAAATATCATTTTATAACTTACAATTGTGAATTTAAGTTGCTCACATATTTAGTATAATTGTAAGATTATAAATTTAAACAACAGAATAGTATTTTGTAAATAAGTTATAAATTAATTTTTTACTATGTAATTGTTATTTTTGTTTTTATGAATATAAATATAAATAATTTTATCATTTTATTCATTTTAAATTTTGAAAAAATTATTTTATTAATAGAAATTAATATAATTAGTATCTATATTAGTACATTTTTATACGGTTTCAAATTTTTTTTTTTTTAATTTCATAAGAGAATAAGAAAATGTCACTACAATAAAAGTATAATAAATTATTATTATTATTATTATTTTTTTTTGAGTATAGATATAACTTCATTAACATAAAGAAAGGATTACACCACATACAACAAAACAAAGATACCACAAGTAAGGATTACATCAACACAACACAAACCAAAGATAAGGAGTGAAAGACTAAAACCAAAAAATAGCAAATCCCGAAAGCCTATCAAAACTATTGAAGAAGAAGAGCACGACGTTGTGGAGGTCAGAATAAACTTGGACTGCTATACTATCTTCAATCCAAGACTTGTGTTTGCGCTTACTATGATCAGGCTCAGGGACATTAACAGCAGGACCCTCAGCTAGAATTTTAGGGGGCATGAATTCGCTTAGAACCTCTCGTATGAACATTCACAACTTGTGTCCAAAGTAGAGGCAACAAAGGCTCACCAAAGACATGAGAATGAGGACAGAGTGGCTCCTGCATAGCAATATCTTCGAAAGGCGTCAAAGAGGATTTTGTGTTGCTAAGTGGGAATGCAGAAGAAAGAATTGCTGGAGAAACCTAGTTTGATTCATCCATATGCATAACAGTGAGAGACAACTCGTGTTTCTGAACAATGACAACAGACAGACTAGACCGATAAACGAATTGAAATTTACTATCACCTTGAAGGGTTTGGCGTAAATTACGATCAATGAGAAGAAAGTTGCAACCCATGATCACTTTCTTCCGACGTTTGAGAAGAGAATTAAAATTAGGAGCATCTCTTGCTTGAATCCCTCTCCACCACCATTGATACTATCAACCGACGAGAAGTTGGAAGCATCGTTACATGTAAAACCCTCTTGAACTCCACTGACACTGGCATTGCCTTCAGACCGATCGTTACACAGATTGACTATAGCATGAGGAAAATCCTTAGACACAGCGTTAAGATTCGAATCATAACTATTAGAACTAACGCTTGTGTCTCGACCCCATTCCGCCCCTAGTAGAATGGTGCCGTGATGGCCAGTAATCTGAGATTACCAAAGGCCAACTTACGGAAATTCACACACAATCAGAGTATACATATGGGGTCTACATGTGTGGAAGCAATAAATTTAAAACTAAATAGTCCACAAGAGCAGTGCGTAGATCAAATGAAATGTCATACATCTTAATATACCTTACAACTTGGATACAATAAAATAAAGTACAAAATACATCTTGATCAAAAGGTTTCTCAAACCGACATATACAAAAGAAATAACTACAAGCCAAGAAGCATAATCTTCAAGATGCTACAGAACATAAATCAAAAAACATCTTGCAACAATCATCTAGGCGTCACCGCCTTCCTGCTCGTCACCAAATATAGAGAGGGTGAGCTTGGATACTCAGTGAATGATACCAGTAATAAAGGTTTTGCATGAATGATATCCGAAATCTTTTTCCAAAACAATACATATCATAACTTTACAAATCAAAAGATTGAATCAAGTTCATCTATCAATCTTTCAAAGCTTCTTGGATGTTAATAACATCTACATGATACCAAATGATGACATGCTGGACAAACAAACCCACGCGAAAAACCGTCAGTGGTAAAACAAAGGTGCAGTTGCATTATAGTCCCTTGGCACTAAGGACTTCCAAAACAAATGTACAGTTGCATTATAGTCCCCTGGCACTAAGGAATTTCTCAGAATGTCATCAAAACAAATATAATACGTGATACAAAACTAGGGACAATCATTCATGTTTGATCAAATATTTTTTCAAAACAAAGCAAAGCAAAACTTTTATCAAAACATTATAACATAGCTTTATTAAAAATACCACTCACATAGTTCTTCGGGTGTAGGAATTACAAGAAAAGATCCAAGGCCTACAAGCACATTATAAATCCTATTGAATGCGTTTCAATAAGACAAGGTGAGATGCTCAAAGATGGATATGAAATGGATCCTTAAAACAAGCTTTACATGACAGGAAAGGATCTCGGCATTTCTTTCAAAACTAGGTCCGGTCAAAGCAGAACATGCTGGGAAGCTAAAACACTGCCTTTTCATCTCAGGAAAACATGCTGGGTACTAACCAAGTCTAGGCCGAGGTCCCACACCTCTTGGCCGAGGTGTGTTCCTGATGACCACATTCAAAGAAATGAAGTCTGGGAAAATTTGGATTTCCCTCTTGCAGAACATGAAAAACAAGAACATGAAATGCTAAAATCATAACTTCTTCATTCGAAATCTGAGTTTTCATGAGATGAGTTTGAAAACATGGACCTGGGTACCCATACTTGAAGATTTCATGGAAACAAACACAAAAACATGGAACTTGTTACAAACTTTTCGGATCAAACATGGTTTATCTCAAGAACATAAGAATATCATTTTCTCTTTCTAAAGCAAGTTTTAAATCAATGCATGGTCATGAATCATGCTAGATCATGCAATGCATCGGATCAACATTAAAGAATAACAAGAGTAAATCAAGATTCTAACCTCAAAACACGGATTAAACGGCTCAACTTAAAATCAAAGCTTGGGATCTAGCCCTCTCACTTCCAACTTCCTCTCCTCTTCTAGGCTTCTCTCTCTACTATGCAAAGGATATGACACAAAATGACATGTTTCTAACTCTGCGGATGATACTTAACCCTCCGCTGGGACACGTGACAACGCTGATTGCATTCTCAAGAGGTGATAGATGATAAGACAAGCATGATGCAAAGTGTAAGCATCAAGTAAGGTGACAGGCCTTTGGCGGGTACTGATCTCGGCTAAGCTCGGCAAGTAAGGTTCATGATCTCGCTAGAAGGACAACACTGGCCTAGCTGTGCCACACCTTGGCCTTGATATGCCACACATCGCGTCTATGGTCGTACTAGTCAGGGTCAGATCACTTTGGCTTATAACATCTTGGCTAGATAATACACATCTCGGCCTTGGTGATGAACACCTCGGCTTAGATAATGACATCTCGGCCAACATGTCAGGGTAGGGTGGAGGTCAACCAAAGTGTTCCAAGATGGTCTAGGTGTAAGAAGTGCAAAGGTGTAACCAAGGCTTAAAGATGAGCCTCGTCTAAAATCTCACAAAGCAAGGAACAAAGCAGTGCAAGCAACACTTATGCGAAACAAATCAAGGTTGTAAATGCAACTTAACAAGACAAGATCATATAAATACATGCAAGCATGAATAGAGTAAAGTGAGGGTTGTTACATGCCTACCCTCCTTAAGTTACCTTGCCCCAAAAACAACTCCGGATGTCGGGTTTTCTATTTTTCTTCCATTTCCCATGTGGCATCCTTACCTAGATCTTTTTCATTCAACTTGTACCATCGGTATGACTTGTCCTCAACTGTTTCACTGCCTATCAAGAATCTCGTATCGGCCTTCTCCTCCTAACCTAAATCTTTGTTAACCCAATCCGAAATAGTCAAT